AAAAAAAAATTAATAATAATAATAATAAATAGCCTTGAGCAGGGATGGCTGGCTGGCCTTGGCCTCTCACTTCCTGGATGGCCCTGACAACAGCACCAGGGCCAGACCACACCGCCCGGACTGCCATTCACAGGGGGATCTGCAGGGAGATGGGGGAGGCCGGCGGGGGGCTGAGGCTGGGGCCCGGCTGGAGACATAGGGTGCAGCTGTCCAGGCAGGAAAAATCCACAGCAAACAGGCCGAAGAGCGTGAACAGCAGTGTGGCGATGGCCCACTCACACGCAGCAGAGGCCGAGCGCAACGGCCAGGAATGGAGGATGACCACTGCACCCCGGGGTCAAGGGCCACACCAAGCAGGAAGGATCCGGGAGCCCAGCTGGGTCACCGGGGCCAGGTGGCCGCTCGCGACGCACTCGGCCCGCCCAGGCCGGAATGGCCTCCGCGGCTCCCGGACACTCGCAGGGATGCCTTCCTCCCCGTCTAAGGCTGTTTCCCAAATGTTCCCCTTGCAGGTTCCTCCTGCTCACACTGTATTTCCAACATCCCAGAACAAGGTTCTCACCTTACCCTCGGCCTCCCCGACCCCGTCAAGGCCCCACCATCACCATCTCCCACTTGCCCGCGAACTGCTTCTTCCCTCAAATATGCAGGGTTTCCTAAAGACACCCCCAAGCCGGGCGCCAGCCTCAGGCTACGTTGGCAACTTTCATCCCCGACCCGTGGCCCACAGGCCCCTCCCGCTCACCCCCTAAAATATCTTCCTCCTCCTGGTGACAACTGCCACCCACTCACGTGCCTAGCGGACCCTGGCCACTCACCCTCACCCCCTCCCTCTCCTCATCCTCATGGCCAGCTGGTCACCCTAAGGCTTATCCTGCTGGCCTGGCCCATCTCCTTCTGGTCTTGCGTCTCGCTCCTGGTCTGCCGTGTCTTCCTTTCTTCCTTCCTTGCTTCCTTCCTTCCTCACCCAATGTGGGGTTTGAACTCACAACCCCAAGATCACTGCAACAACCTTCTGCTTCTCAGCCAAGCTAGCCCCCACTCACTCCTAGATCAGTTTAGACATTATTTCATTCATTCAGGGATTTTTAGATAGCAGATACGGCCAACATCACCGCAGATCCCATGAATCCTAGAGCAAAGAAGAGGTGAGAGCACTCACACACAAGGTAGTTACCGCCAGAACTGGCCTTGTTCTTCCCCTGCTCATAAGCTTCCCATGGCTCCCTACTGCCCCCAGGAAGAAACTCGAGCCTTTAAAGCCTCACCTTAGCACTGAAAATCCTCATCTCAGGCCCTTCCAGTGGCCTTATCTCCAAGCTGGTTTTTCCGCCCTCAGCACGCACCTGGGGTGTGTCCCCAACCTCCCAAAGCAGGTGAAAAGCAGCTAGTTCTGCAAGACCAGCTCAGAATCTGCCAGTTCTCAGACCCATCCTTGCAGAACCCCAGCCCCTATCACACTCTGCTGGCCATCTTTATGGTCCATTTCCTGGCCCCAGGGCCAAGGGATATTTGAGCACCACAGAATAAGGACCTTGCAGCCAAACTGATTATCAGCCCAGCTGGGATTTTAAAAGGACCCAGCACGGGGCGCCTGGGTGGCTCAGTCAGTTAAGCAACTGACTCTTGGTTTCGGCTCGGGTCATGATCTCGGGGTCCTGGGATGGAGCCCCGCATCGGGCTCCACACTCAGCAGAGTCTGCTTGTCCCTCTCCCTCTGCTCTTCCTCCTGCTCTCTCTCAAATAAATAAATAAAATGTTCAAAAAATTTAAAAAAATAGTAATAAAATACAAGGGGCCAGCTGGATCTTATCACCAACAGGGCCTCTGCAGAGGAGAGACGTTGCTTATACAGCTGGAGTAGCTAAAGGCTTAGGTGAGGGGCCAGCCCTTCCCGCCTCTTCAGTGGGATTCAGTTTGCTGCGTTGGGAAATAGGACTGCCCGTTCCTTTTGCTGAGATAATCCCGAATAAGCAGATGTCCCTCAGGCAGCCAGCACAGGACCTCAGTTGGTTTCCTGGTAGGCTCTTCTGAACACCAGCAGCCTTCTGGCCTCCCCTGCATTCTCCCCAAGGAGGAGATGGGTCCCTAAGGCTGAGTTTGCAGCCTCTTTTCTCTCAGGGCACTTTATCAGTAATGACCATTACTATGATCAAAACAACTCCTTTTACAGATATGGAAACTGGAGCACAGTGATTTGAGTCACCCGGAGGCGTGCCGGGCTGGCGGAAAGCATCTGGGCTCGGGTGACTCAGAACTGGGCTGGGTAGAGTCTCCAGCCGGTGGTAGGCATGCTGGTAGATGGTTAACAACCAGCTCCGATTTGCAACATCGGCCAATTTCTGTGTTGTGAACACTCCCACCAAGGCCCGCGGGATAATATGACAGCACCAAACATGGAGCTGGGAAGAGATAGGGACTGCCCTCGAGAGCTTGTACAAGCTGCCTGCCTCCACCATGAGCTCCACCGTTGGGCTTCATGACGGGCCTTGGCCAAGAGACTCCCCCTCTCTGAGCCTCAGTTTCCAGTCTTCGCCAACATGATGCCCGGCACAGGGCAGGTACCCCAAACAGGCTGCTCTCGCTGGCTTGCCATCCTCCCAGGATCTGCTGGTGGCTCACTGCGCTGGGCACCGAGCTAAGCACCTCACATGTATTACTCCCTTCATTCCTTACAACTCCGGGGGCAGCCCTGTTATTATCCACATTTGAGAGCTGAAGGAGCTGAGACACTGAGAAGTTCAGCCAGTGGAGTTTTTCCCCCAGCTAGGACGTGGGGGAGGTGGAATTCGACCCAGGCTGCCTGACCCCTGGGTTGACACTTTCTATGACGCTCTAATCCTGAGGAGACTGAGGCCAAGAAAGGACAGGGCACCGCACATTGCATGGAGCCGACCCACCCCAGTGAAGAACCCCCAACGCCTGCCACCAACCCCAGTAAGGATACTGGCCACCATGAGGATGGTGCAGAGGCTGCAGAGGCCCAGGCGGAGCGGTCCGATCCAGGGGGCCCCAGGCTGGGGCAGGCTCCTCATCCTCCAGAAGAGAAAAAGCTGCAGCCAGAAGTAGAGGTTGCCCACGAATAAGGCAAAGAAGGCCCCTATCAGGTGCGTTGGCAGCTGGTTCTTTTGCTGGGAGGAAAAGGGACAAGAGTTGCGAGGAAGATAGATACGCGGTGGGGGGGTGCGAGACGCGAGGGCTGTGATGGGGGAGGGGTCTTTGACCCACCCAAGAGACTGCTCACTGCTGCGGCCTCACTCCCTAATACAGGGCCTGGCACATCGTAGACGCTCGGGAAATATTAGTAATAAATCTTTCATTCTCAACCGGGGAGGGGGAGGGCTGATATTGCCACCCAGGGGGTAAAAATTGGTTTTTGGAGGGCGAAAAGTTCTCATTTATTTTTTTTTAAGATTCTATTTATATATTTGACAGAGAGAGAGAGTGACAGAGCACAAGTAGGGGGAGCGGCAGGAAGAGGGAGAAGGAGAAGCAGGGAGTCTGATGGGGGACTTGATTCCAGGATCCCGGGATCATGACCTGAGCCAAAAGCAGACGGTTAACCAACTGAACCACCCAGACACCCCAAGAGTGAAAAGTTCTTAAAGATTACAATGGTTTGTGCTTTGCAGATACATAATATATGTTATTTAATATTTTTTAAATATTAAAAGTTTAATGAGGGGAAGCGATGACCGGCGGGAAATGTCTTTAAAAGGCTCCTTAGGGGAGCAATATAATAATTTTAAGCAGTGGGGCGCCTGGGTGGCTCAGTCGGTTAAGCGTCTGCCTTTGGCTCAGCTCATGATCTCAGGGTCCTGGGATCAAGCCCTCCATTGGGCTCTCTGCTCAGCAGGGAGTCTGCTTCTCCCTGTACCCCTCCCCCCTCCTCATAATCTCTCTCACGCTCTCTCGCTCTCTCTCTCAAATAAATAAATATCTTTTAAAAACTTTTTTTTTTTAAATTAGTTAAAGTTGAGGAGCACAGGAATAAATGAATAAGTGATGGGGAATTTTCTTAATACGTGGGAGGCAGCCTCTTACCCTATGGTACTTTCACAGGAGAGGTTTGGAGTCAGAGACATCACAGTAAAATTAAATAACAATATAAAATAATCAATAGGCTTTCTCCAATCGATTGTCCTTTTGTTCTACAAATATCTACTGAACTTCAAGGCGAAGAATGTGAGTTCTAGAGTCTATGAATCTGGGTTCGTTTCTGACCGCCACGAACCAGCTGATTAAAACAAAACAAAACAAAACAACAACAACAACAAAAACCCTCTGTCGGATTTGACCAAAAAGAGTCTGGCTAGAGCTCTTGTGGAGATGGATGAAAACCTACACAGTGTAAAGCCTAGCGCCCCGCACGGAGTGAACGTTCCATCTAAGAATGAGTGGCTCTGAGTAATTTCATTATTAAAAGGGGAAAGGGGCAAGGGACGGCAGTAAATTACCCCCTATCTTCTAGGGTTCAGTGAAATAATTATACGAAGAGCCTCCCACGCGGGACTCCATTCAAACAGCGGAGGAGCTCACTTCCCTCCCCTGTCCCCCTACTCAGGCCGAGGACCCCAAGAGAAATACAAGTCCCAGAAGGCCGTGCGCGGAAGAGCCCCCACAACGAGAAGCCAGCGTCCCTGGGGGATGCTGGGAGCTGTAGTCGGGGACTCGGGCTGGTCGGACAGCCTGGCTGGGCTCCACGAGCGGATACCGTCTCACCTGGAAATTGCCCACCACGGAGGTGCCCAGGGCACACAGAAGCCCCGTCCACAGGATCAGCCGGTTAAACCATTTTCCGACTCCCCAGTCCCGGAGCTGGTGGTAACGGATAATGCAGATCCAGGCGGCTGGGAGGAGAGGGAAGTGGGCGGGCAAGCCGGGCCCGGATTCCTGGGGAGGGGGTGCGGAGAGACTGGGCGTCTAGGGGTGGGGGCCTAACCTCCACATCTGGGGGAGGGGTGGGGGCTTGGACTCCTGGGGCGGGGGCCGGGGCCGGGGCTGCGCGGGGCGCCCTTGGCTGGGGGTCGGGGTGGGGGGTCTCGCCCTGAACAGAAAGGGCTGAGAATATTTACCCATAGCAGCTCCCATGTTCAGCAGCTGGCTGAAGATGCAACTCTGAGGGGGGTAAGATCCACAGAGGCTGGGGAAGATGAAGGATCATCCTGCGGCTCCTCGGAGCCTCGGAACCCCCCGCCCCCCCAGCGCCATAACTACCTGATATAGGGGAAACCTTCGGTGAGGTTCACAGACCTGTTGGTCACGGCAAGGGCAAAACTGAAGTATAGAGAGACATCAAAGTGGTTTTTAACGACACCTTTTCCTTCTGTTACCCACAGAAACAAGGACTTCTAACTCCCTCCCCTTCAGACCCCGGAGCCCAGGCCCCCAACCCCTTGCTCCCTCAGACCCAGGAGTCCAGACCCCCCAGCCCCTCCTCCCTCAGACCCAGGAGTCCAGGCCCCCAGCTTCCTCCCTCAGACCCAGGAGTCCAGCCCCCCAGCCCCCTCCTCCCTCAGACCCAGGAGTCCAG